GAACCATTGCCATTTGTGACAACACAAATGGCTCTTGAAAGTATTATGCCAGGTGAAATAGGTAGAAAAGGACAAACACCTTATGATCTCACTCATATGTGGAGTATAAAACAAAAAAGTAACGAACGAACTAACAAAACAAACTCATGGATACAGACAACAGAGTGGTGGTAGCTAGAGGGGGAGGAAAGTGGGGGAGGGCAAAATGGATAAAGGAGTACAAATATATGGTAACAGAAGGAAACTAGACTTTGGGTGGTGAGCATGCAAAGTCGACTATACAGATATGAATTATAGTATTGTACGCCTGAAATTTATACAATGTTTTTAAACACTGTTACCCCAGTTAAAAAAATAAATTAATAAAAATAAATGAGACTTTTTAAAATCATTTCAAAAGTTGTTAAAAGAACAATGAGAGCTTAAAGCAAAATAATGTGTTGTGGGGTTTATTATACACGTAAAAGGGAAATATGAAGAAAATAAAGGATGGAAGAGGGGGGATGGAAGCATACTGTAAAAATCTTATAAGTAGTGTCATACTATTTGAAGGCAGACTGTGGTAAGTTAAAGATGCATATTATAAACTTTTGAACTAGGAGAACGAGGGAGGATAGAAGCCAAAACTTGAGATAGAATTGAATACTAAACTATTCTGTTATTTCAAAAAGAGGCAGGAAAAAAATAAATGAAGAATAATAGCACAAATAAAAACAAATAGCGAGAGTGTAGATTTCAACCCAACATGATAATTACATAAGTAATGACCTAAACAGGCCCATTAAAAGGCAGGTAATGTGTCTAAGGTTGAATAAAAAAGCAAGACACAGCTCCATGCTGAACCGGTTTCTGCTCCCCGCGAACACCGAATACCGGGAGTGCGTTCCCGCCTCCTGGCCGCCGACCGGCTCTCACTCCGAGCGCTGGCGGCTGGGTGGCCCCGCACGTCCCGTCACGCAGCAACGGCGTCATTAGCCTTCCCGGGAAGTGTGAATATTTACAGGTAGTAAGCGCTTCTGCATGCACTGTTCCCGGGGTGAGGGGCTACATTATGTATTTCTCTGTGTCAGGTGCGAACTGCCGCGCCCAGCCTGGCGTGTCCCTGGCACGAGCCCCCAGGCGAGGATAAGGATACAGGAGCCTCAGATCCCGCAAGGACCCCTGTCACCATCCCCGCCTCTCCTCCCCCAGCCCTGGGCGGCGCGCGCTCCAGGCTGAGCGCTGGGAGGCCGGGGGGCGCGGGCCGAGCGCGGGTGGGGGGTGCCGTTTGGACGCTGATCGCCCACCCAGCTGGGAGCGTGGAGCTGGTGGGGGGTGTGGACAAAGGGTGGGAGGCGGGGCGCACGGAGCCCCGGCGCGGGAGCCCCGGTGACGCACCAGTGACGTAGGCGGCGGGCGGGATTTCCCGGCCCCTCCCGGGCGCCCGGGGAGACCCCGCTGCGTAGCGGGCGCGACCACCTCCGGCCTGGAAGCTCCCCAGAGCCGCGCGCAGGGGCTGAGCGGACAAGTACTCGGCGTCCGGCTGGCTTCGCTCCCACACGGGGCTGCCGACGCGGCCCGGAGACCCCCGGGCGCACGCGGAGCCCGCCCGCGCCCGCCCGCCCGCGCCCACTGGGACGATGCGGCGCGGCCTGGCCCCCCGCGCGCGCCGCGCTGGAGACAAAGCCCGCGCGTGAGCGGCGCTCGGTGAGTGGCGGCCGGGTCTGTGGGGACGGGCCAGCCCGGGCTCGGCGGGCTCGGGGCGCGGGACCGAAAGGAAGGGGGATTGGGCGGGAACGTCCGGGAGCCGGAGGACGGTCCCGGGACCCGAGTGGCAATGCCGCGCTCCGAGGACCGACCCGCCGGGGCCGGCACAGGTGAGCGGGCGGGTGCGCGGCACCTGGAACCCGGGGCCCTCGGCCGAGCGCACGTGCGGGCGGACCGCTGAGGGGGTTCTCCTGGGGGTCGCCCGTTCTCCGGCTGGAAGCGGCGAGGCTCCTGGGGACCCTTGTCCATATGTAGGTCACGGAGCGGCCGCTCGTGTCTCGGCTGGGATGTCCCCGTGGAACAGGACCGTCCTGGGAGGGGTGGGCTGGCCAGTTGGCCGTTTTGTTTGGGGGAAATGCTTTTGGCGAGCGCCTGCAGGAGGCTTCTTGATTCCCAGCCCCCCGTGACACCTGCCTGGAGAGCAGTTCCTGGAGCGACACGGCGAGGGTTTGTCCCCTCCCTATGGCGTCTGTCCCCGAGGCTGGTGCTGAAATGCGCCGCATTCGTGGCGCGCGCCAGGCGGCTTCTCTTTTAATATTTTAATTGCCTTCGTAATAATAACGAGAGGGCGAGGGGGGCAGAGGTGTGGCTAAAGAAGACGTCTTAATTTGGGAGGATTTGCTTATTTTTATGTATCCTGGGCTAGGGTGTTAGGAAATCCAAAAATATCAAAGTTTAATCAAGTGGTAAAGTGGATGGTGGACACCGACCCGGTCTCTCCCCTCCCAAACCCCCTTCTCCAGGTTTTCCTCACTTGCTATTCCCTCCCTGAGCTGTAAAAGGCTCGTCACAGCCAGAGGCCTGCTGGGCTGCGCTGGTGTCCCCATGAAAACGTGTCAGGCCTGCCATCCGCTCCTCAGTCCTCCTGTGATGCTCCCTCTCAGAGTGGGACCGGAAAATCCTGTGGCAAATGCCTTAAAGCGGCAGCGAAGGGACCTGGGCTCTGTGTGGCCTCTGGGTTCTTTGGGGAAAATCCTTTTCCTGAGATTTGCCCGCTGTGGGGAGGCGAACCATGGATCTGGCCCTGTTCCCTGCAGAGGCTACTGTGGGAGCAACAGAGGTGATGCATGGAAAGGCCTTTCCAGTCCTGAGAAATGAGCCGCTGTACCTGTAAACTGAATTATTTCCAAAGTGCGGGGCTGGCTCAGTTATCAGTCATGAGGAGAGGTGGACATAGCACTTAATCAATAGCCGGTGCTGGTGTACATACAGTGTGTATTGCATTGCGATGCTTTGCTAGTTTGACGAGTGTGGCCTCATCTGGGGTTATCAGGCTGAAATGACGAGGACAATAGACTTGCTGTTTGCTTCTCCGCTGACATGAGGCTCCAATCTTCAGCCTCCTTACAATTGCCTGAAGGAAGGCAGCTGAGAAACAGCACAGCTGAAGGGTCAGTCCCTCTTGGCCCATCGTTAGCTAGGCCATTGCCTTTGTCTATGGTGAAGAAACCAGGAAAAAGCTTTCCCCGTATTAATGTTACAGCTTTTAATGCCAAAGTCACAGTCCCTGAGGCCCACACATCTCTGTACATTCTTGGAAGTGGTAGAACATCAGGTGGGAACTGGAGGGGCAGGTCCCCCTTAGCTGTCTCGGGAGGATGGGGTAGGGCTTTAGTGACTATGTGTTATGCCGCCTCTCTCACACTCACACGCTACCGCTTCCTGAGGAAAGCAGCCAAATGACTGAGAAAAGACAGATCAGCCTCATTTATTTATAGCCACGTCTTACTATCACATTTTTCTTACTTTGTCTCATTTTTGTTCTACTTAAAGAGGAGGGAATGCCTGAAATGCAGTGCATCTCAGTAGACTTCCCTTTTTCTTCATGGAATTTTAAAACAGTGTCTTTAAGATAGTACCTGATTTGTTCTCAGAACGCCTATATGAACATATACTGTCTAATGTTGCAGCTTTTCCTTTTTAATTTGCTATTTTAATTCAATCTAGACATACATAGGCATAAAGAGACTTAGTATTCAGATACAGAGATTATTTTTTCAGTTTTTGTAAACCAGAAACTGAAATTTAATTTCTTTAATACACCAACAAAATTATAAAACATCCTTTCAACAGTAGCTAGCCAAGGTATTTTCATTGAAAATCAGAAGCTAAGCTGAGTGTCAGAAAAGGACAAACAGGGAGGTCCATTATAGTATGTAGACATTAGCATAATAATACGAGAAGATGTTTAACTAGGTGATTAAAAGCATCTGAAGAATAAAGCAAATATCTTAAATGATCAGAAATGAAAAGAAATGCAAATGAAATTTCCATTTGGGGAAGGAAGTAGAGGCAGAAAGTACTACTGAAGGAAAAAACGACTGCAGCGAGGACAGCAGGGACTTAGATGAGTTCAACACGCAGGCTGGAACATTCTGCACCACCTTGTCAGGCTTTAGTGTGGTCAGGCGGCAGCTGGTGTGCAGCCAGTGTTCCTCGTGGACCTGGGCACGCACCGTGGCACGTCTTGTGCAGGTGGGAGTGCGGGCGTACTGAAGGTGTAGTACTTGAGCAGTGGGCCCCGGGTGCTGAGCAGAGGTGAGGGCCCAGCCTGGGGGGACCAGATGGGGTGGGGGCCCAGAGGAGCCAGCACTGAAGGGGGTTGTTGTGCTTCAGCCCGAAGCACCATGTGGGTGGCCTCACAAATCCTCACACCACAGGTTTCTCTTTAGCAAAAAGTGATGGGGACCACAGGTGTCCTTTCTGTCCGGGAGTGTTTTGGCAGATCGTGCTGGCTTTAACCAAGGAAAAGCATATGCAACATGGGGGGTGAGGGCGAGTGAGATGGGAAGAGGAGAAGCACAGTGTGTGACCCACCCCAGGGGCTGTGCATGACCTCCTTCCCCAAAGGACAGGATGTGCTGCTCCTCTCAGATTTCTTAGGACGCTGCTTCCTGGTGGCTGGGATGGCCCTCCAGTGGGACATGTGCCATGAGGCTGAGGAAGATAGAAGGGGCAGAAGAAATGCTTTAGCATCCCTTGGGGCCCAACTTGTTGCTTCTCCCCACACAAAGGTGTGCACACTCGGGTAGCAACCCTCCATCCACTCACTGTACCTTCCTGCTTTTCTCGTTTATCCTGGTGTTCACATCCAGTTGACAGTTACGGGTTCTCCTCCACTCCTCTCTGCCTCACCACCATCAGAGGAGGGGCAGGGCGACAGCATTGGGAAGAAGGACAGATTAATTGTTTAAAAAACCTTATTAGAACACCTTTACAACTAAAGCAAAAGGTGTTACCATGACAAGTGAATATGTCCTCATGGTCCCATCCCCTGAACTCAACTGGGTTGACTTGTGGTGTTTCATCACACAAACAGGTAAAATCAAGAGATTACCAAAGCAGTGTGCAGGTATGAAGGTCCAGGTAGGAGAAATGGAGTCAGAGAACAGGAAGCAATGAGCAAGGGAAATACCGAGGGGGGACAGCAAAGCCATTTGGGGAGTTGCCAAGGGCAGCCTGGGGCCCGCAGGGTGCTCTCCGGTGGCCGGAGGGCTCTGTGGCCCAGGTTCTGACACTGTTGGAGGGGCAAAGACAAGGATGGCAGACAGCTGTGGGGTGGGCTCCAGCTGGGACTGTCTGCCTGGGGTCAGGCTCCGGGAGGCGGGGCCGCCTGTGTTTGCTGCCCACCCACTGCATGCTGCCCATACAGCGAGGTCTGCTTCCAGGTCAAGCAACAGCCCACCTTTATGTGCCCAGAATCAAATCATTACTACACCTTGGAAAGAGCTGTGTTTTGTCTCCTAATACTCCTGTCATCAGGAGGTTCTGGCAGCCCAGGACCCTCACAGACTGAATCTCTGCTGCTAGAGGACCCCTTCTTATCTGTAGGACCCACTATCACAGTGGGCCTCCATCTTCCCAGCTTTCCTTATCTGTGAGGGTCCAGGCATGCCCAAGAACTGGTGTCCTCCTCTGCAGTGCTGTCCAGCCTGATGTGGGGGACATCTGTCCTGCTGTGCAGACCTTTGATGAAAACTGTAGAGGAGGAAAGAAACTTTTCCTCTACCCTCTTAGATTTAGTGTCTGGGGCCTGTGAATTAAACTGACAACAGGAGAACTGAACAGCAAATAAAGAGCCAGTTTAACAGGAGAAAGGTTTATTATACAGGCACATAGGAGCTCCACAGGGAAGAAGAGAAAACTGAAGAAAAGGTTAGGCTCGAGAGCTTATATACCATTTTAACAAAGAAGGTAACTTGCGGGAAAGTGACAAGACAAAGAAAAGGGGGTTTGAGCTTCTAGGGGCAGTAAATTGTGGGAAGGTAGCTATATGGAGGAAACTAATGGAAGATGAGGATTATTTTAGTAAGGTTTGTTTGTGCAGACCCGTGCGGTTGCCAACCTTCTCTCTGGTGATAATGGAGGTTTTCTTCCCCTGGGGATGGGAGAGGGAGAGGTACATCTTCACAACGGGAAATATATGCCCCGCTTTTAAGCAGAAAGGGTGAGGCCAAGAGTTCCTCCTCTTTTTTATTTGCCTGCAGCTCAAAATAATTCTTGTGCCAGAGGGGCATGTTTTGGGGTGGTGTGTTCTGAGCCCGTTCAGCATTTCCAGCAGGACCTTTGCTCGGAGAGCCTGTGGTATGCTAACGCAGCATAAATAATCCCTATTTGGTTTAGTTTCTGTCACCAGTCTTGCAACAGTTCCGTTTTCTGCCTGCCCCAGATAACTTCACTTACTAGCTGGGGGCCCCACCGTGCAGATGCTTATTTACCCGCTGACACCTGTGGGGCCACACGGACCAGGGAGGGCTGCATCCTGGTTATGGCAACAGATGACTGAAGTGGACAAGTGGCTGTTCGATGGTATAGACGGGGAAGCCAGCATTACAGGGAGGTGACACAGTCAGGCTTCTGGACTCGTAAGGGCAGTGGTGGGTCTGGGGTGTGGCCGAGAAGAGATGATGAACCTGAGCAGAGAATCCCAAAGCATAGAACTCCAAGGGCAATAACACAAGGAAACTGACAGTGACTTCAGCCACTGCGCTCTTTCCGGAACAAGGTGAGGTGCAGATCCGCTACTTCATCAGCGTCACATACTCTGTTCTCCAGGTGAATTTCATCTGCCAGGGACAAGGTCACTGCAGTCTTCCTACCTAGACCCCGCTCTGGACCGCCCACCCTGTCCCTGTCATGGAGTGGCTTTACCCACTGCCCTTTCATTTGGGATTGGTGACCCAGCACCATTCTCCTCCACTTGGTTGAGCTGGTAGAACTGGCTCTTCTGTGCTTTCTCTGTCTCCCCCACAGCAAGTGTGCCCACAGCCGCCGCTCTGTCATGGCCCATTCTCAGGACTGTTAGGAGATGCAGGACAAAAGCACTGTGTGTCTTGCACCAGGGAACCAGTCCCCCACCCCCAGCTTCACTGTGCTCTCTACTGGGTCCCATTCCTCTGAACTCCCAGTTTCTCTCCAAACCCTCCCTTTGTGCTCGATTCTGTTAAACTAAATAGTGACTGAACTAAGTTGATCATTGGCCTGGAGCCAGGCACAATTTTATTAAACAGAAATTTTCTGTGTCGCGGGGTTTGCATCCCAGAGTCCCGCTGGTCCTCACCATGGCCAGCCCTCCAGGTGGTCGGCCTTTCTCAGGCTTTCCTGGGCGTTACTGCCGCTAACCAGGCTGCATACTATGGAAGGACTTTTTCTGTGCATGTCTTGCTGAAAGCAATAAACTATGTAAACCATATGTTTCTAAGGCATTCATTTACGGGATACGTGACAGGCCCCTACAGGCTATGCACCAGATGTTTTAGGCACTGATGGCTTCAGATGAATAAGACATAGTCACACCCTTCACAGGACTCAGGATCTGGAGGGAACATGTGTGTCCAACAGCTCCCTTACCGCTAGGCTAATGCTGTGACAGACACATTTCAAGTGCTGTGGGGGCACCTGTTATAGGAACAGCAAGTGGGACCCAAGAGAGCCTCACAGCAGAGGTCACGTCTTCAGGGACCCTGGAAAGCTGAGGACGATTTTTTTTTCAATCCAGACAAATGAGAAAGGGTGTTCCAAGCAGAGGGAACCGTATGTGCAAAGGCTCAGAGTATGGGGGGTGGTGTAGAGCAGAAAGGCAGACCAAGCCAGGTGATGGATGAGTCTACTCTGTGAAGGAGGCAACCAGGGCCGCTGTAGGTAAATGCAGGAGTTCACAGCCCCACCTGGCCCTCCATACTGTGTCGGGCAAGTCAGGGGAAGGAGGCAGAGGAGGGAGGGCAGGCAGAGCTGGTAGGTGGACTGTGGTCTTCCCTAGAGGGCTCAGGCCCTCGCTTGGTGGGCACTGCTGTCTGACCAAATGGGGAAGGGAAGAGAGACAGGCATCTGGGGAACCCAGAGTTCCCAGTTTGGGCCTGGACTGGACAGAGAGGGTAACACGACCTGATTAGTGACTAGAAGAGGAGGTGCAAGCCGGGCGCGTGGAAAGAGTGTGGGTGACCTATCTGCCAGGTGAGAAGGTGAGTCCAGGTGGAGCAGGAGTCGGGCTAGAGACAGGTGGAGTCGCTGGTGCCCAGGTGAAGCCACACGGTGGTGGACTGGCCTCCCAGGGGGTTCCCAGGCATGCTAAACCCAGTAGGGAGGCTCCAAAAAGCAGATATGAAGCTTGGGGCAAAACGAAAACGACTGTAAAATGCATGCTCTTTCTAAGGCAGGTTTTCATGTGTTGAGGTCCCTCAGAAAGGACCCCCGCCCGTCGGTCCCTTTGGCTGCTCAGCCGCCAGGCTCTGCGAAGCAGCAGCAAAGCCGCCAGCAGCGCTGCGATGACTCATTGCTTCAGTGTCCCAGCAGTTACAGCTCTGTCTCTTGTTTATGCTTCTTTGTCCCCCTGACACTTGCAGATCTGGCCTGATGCTGCTCCCACCATCTCTCACTGCCTGTTGACGTTGGGGGTGCTACAGCTTATTAGCCTTCGGGGAGCGTGTGTGTCTACCCAAGGGTGAGTTTTTGTTTTATGTCTTCCCCAAACTCCCTGGTCCCCTCTACCTGCCCCCAAGCTCTGGTGGCCTGAGGCAGGAGGGCTGGGCCCTGGCCCTGCTTGACAGTAACGATGGCAACTCAGATTGGGGGGTAGGGCAGGCCGGCTGGTTTTCCTGCCCGCTTCCCCCTGGAACTGCGCTGTGAACTGTGAGGTGCGGCCACAGTGGGGTCTCTCTCTCTCCTCTTGCACTTCCTCCCTGTCTGCTGCTTATCCTCTGTGCTGGGGACACAGCCATGAACAAAAAGCAGACAGTGTGGGGGAGGATGGGGGGGCGTGCAACAAACAACCCTGCCTTCATAGAATTTAATACATTTTAATACAATTTAATAAGAAGTCAAAGTCAAAAGTAACTTAAAATAAGTAAATGAGTAAATAAGCATCTTAAAATGTAATAAATGCTTGGAAGAAAAATCAAAGCAGGAAGGGAGACGGGAGTGCGGGAGAAACAGGTGCTAACAGAAGGCCTTGCTGTCCTGCTCCAAGACAAAGGTGCCTGTGAAATCAGCGTGTCTGATATGCTGGGAGTCAGCAAGGACAGAGCGGGTTTCAACGAGATGGGCCCACAGACTCTTTGCCCGGCTGCCTTCCTTGGCAGGACCAGGCTCCTGTTCCCCTCTGTCTCCTCCTGACGCCCCCAGCAGACAAAGCAGCTGCACCCCAAGAGGTGCATTTGGCAGCATAACTCAAGGCAGAGGAAGAGATGCTGAGCAACATGACACAGGATGGAGACCTCTTGCACCAAACAGCATGACTGTTCTGTGGACAGTCACCCAGACTGGGCTCCCGATCGACCAGGTGCCAGGCGGTGGCCAGAGAGAAATAGAGCCCTGACGTAGACCCCTCCAGAGGGTGCCCTGGTCAGCTGGATCACAGGCCCCATGTCTTGAAGACTTGGGAGTGACTAGAGCAGAGAGGCCATCCCCTGGTCCCCTCTCCTATGGACCAGGATGGGTTAGGAGGCACGGCTCAGTGAGAATTGTTTCATACACAGTAGCCCACCCTTATCCGCAGTTTCAGTTACCCATGGTCAACTGAGGTCCAAAAATATTAAAAATGGAAAATTCCAGAAATTAACTGTTCTTAAGTTTTGAATTGTGCATGTTCTGAGCAGCATGATGAAATCTCATGCCTTCCCTCCCCATCCCGCCCGGGACGTGAGCCATCCTTTTGTGCAGCATCTTTACACTGTCAAGACTCTGCCCGTTTGTCACTTAGTGGCATCTCGGTTATCAGATTGACTATCTTAGTATCACACTGCATGTGTTCACGTCACCCTTATGTACTTCATCATGGCCCAGAAGCACAAGAATAGTGATGCTGGACATGCCAGAGAGAAGCCGTAAACTGCTTCCTTTAAGTGAAAATGTATGCATGTACAGGAAGAAAACATAGTGTATGTAGGGTTTGGTACTATCTGGTTTCAGGCATCCACTGGGGGTCTTGGAACGTATCCCCCTCCGGTAAGAGGAGATGACTGTGTTCTTGAAATGTGGCCTGGCAGGTCAACAGTAAGTTTGCTAAATGATGGACTGCCCTGGCTGCCCTCCCGTTTTGCATACCTGTGTTGGGAGCCATTTATTAGTGGCACAGTCTGTAAGATTAAGGGGAGATTATCAGTTCCCAAACTTGGCTGCATAGCAGAATCACTTTGGATAGTTTTATCAAAACCACCATTTGCCTCAGCCCTAAACATTCTGCCTCAGCAGGTTGGGGCTAGAGCCTGGGACCCTGTGTTTTATGTTTTACAAAGCACTGAACCAGGTGATTTCTGTGGGTCCTTCTTCCTTGCATCTGATAACCCCCAGACTACCTAAGCGTCCCGGTCCCCCTTTCCTGTACCAGTTTCTTCTGCCCTCTTGGAACTGGGAGATGGTAACTGCCCACAAACCATGTGGCTGGAACAGCGGCAGGACCCCAGGTCTCCATTCCAGGCTGAATGCAGGGTTCTGCCTTCCCAATGGGGAAAGCAGCTTCTCTCCATGAACACCCTAAAATGCAGGCCTCCCCCGGCACCCCACAGGTAGCAGCAGCTCGTGGTTCTGGGTGCCCCACAGGTGCCAGAACCTACATCACCCTTGTCTGCTGAGGAGTCAGGAAGGACCGTTAATCGTTGATAAGACGCGTGAATGTTCTGTGTGTCGTGTGCCAGGGGGTAAGGATGCGGAATGAGACGGGGAGGTCCCAGCTCTTGAGGAGTTAACAATCTGGTGAGGGAGGAAGATGATTTTAACACAACACAGAAATAAGAACAGGTCCCGCCTGAACACAGGGTCTGGTCCGGACAACAGACCCAGCCTAGGTCAGGGAAGGCTTCCAGAAGGAGGTCTTGGGGTCTGGCCAGAGGAAAGGGTTGGGCCAGACCAGGGGTTGGCAAACTTTTGAGACGGAAGAGCCACCAGGGGTCAGTAAATTGTGGCTCGCAAGCCGCAGGCTCTAAAGTAAAATTGAAAATGAAAATAAAACTATCATAGTTTCATTTATAAAATTTTTAAAGAATATTATTCACATAATGGTGATTATGTAAAAATATATTTATGGCTCTCGAACAATTTTTCAGTTGTTGTGAGGGACAGGATTGGCTCTTCCAGGGGTTGGCAAACTTTTGAGACAGAACATACCCAAAGAGTCACATGTGGCTCGTGAGTCACAGTTGGCCGACTCCTGTTGTATGTAGACCTGGAAACCATGAGATCTTCTTTAGGCAACTAGAAAGTCTGACCTTCCTGAGAGTTCAAACAATAGCATTTATTGGGAAGTCGCCCTCACCTTTTTTCTCTATTAGCCTCTATAGTGATACAAAAATTTGTATCAGTCATGTCACAGAAAATATTTCAATGCAACATACCAGAAAGCATAATGTGAGTCTTCCTTTTTTTTTAGCATCAGAAAGGACTGGCTATGGCCCAAAGTTCCCCAGAGCAGCTGTCTGCAAATCAACATGAACTGGCTTGGATTCAGCCAGGGGGTCCATACCTTAGTCAAAAGCACTCTCCTAGTCACCCCTAAGAAGCTCATCTAAATTTGGTTTCAAGTGGATGTTCTAATTCCACTGACCCTGTTAAGGTGAGAGAAACAACAGGACAATCAGGAAAAACTGTTCCCAAGATTGTGATATGGCACCTCCTTGGCATATAACAAAAATACTTGTGTATCCAAAATGACATTTTAGAGATGACATCTCTCTCTCGCTCTCTCTCTCTCTCTCTCTCGCTCTCTCGCTCTCGCTCTCGCTCTCGCTCTCTCTCTCTCTCTCTCTCTCTCTCTCTCTCTNTTTAAATTGTTGTGAGGGACAGGATTGGCTCTTCCAGGGGTCGGCAAACTTTTGAGACGGAACGTCATACCCAAAGAGCCGCATGTGGCTCGCGAACTGCAGTTTGCCAACCCCTGGGCCAGACCGAGTGGTGAAGGCTTTCCGGGCTGAGAGTTTCTGCCTGAGCAAATAATAATAACTGACATGTATGGCGTGCTTGCTGCATGCCAGGCTCTATGTGTCTTATATTGTGTTAAGTATTTATTCCAGGTCCTTGACAACTCTTGTCGGAGAAAAAATAATAACCCCCAAAGATGGCCACACCCTAATACCCAGAACCTGTGAATATGTTACCTTAAAAGAGAGCAAAAGAGAGCTTGCAGATGTGATTAAGTTCAGAATCTTGAGCTGGGGGAGTTATCCTGGATTATTTGGTGGGCCCAGTGTCACTACAAGTGTTTTTTAAAGAGAAGGACGGGAGTGTCAGAGGGGAGGATGTTAGGCTGCTGGCTTTGGAGGAGGGGCACGAACCGTGCAGGCAGCCTCTAGAAGTAGAGACGTCAAGAAACCAACCTCTCCCCCATATATCACCACCCCACCGCCACCCCCCAGCAGCAGCACCACTGATGCTGTGGACCTCCTAACGCCAGACTGTAAAACAATAAATTTGTGTTGTTAGAAGCCATGTTCGTGGCAGTTTGTTGCAGCAGCAATAGGAAATTAATACAGGGGTTTCTCTTCCCGTTTTGCAATTGAAAAAAGTGTGAGGTTAAGTAAGTGGCCCAAAGTTGCCTAGTGAGTAAGGAGTAGATCCAGGATTCAAAATTCAGCTGGCTGGCTCCAGGGCCCACACTTGCCCACTGTCGCCTGTCGCCTGCCTCCTGCCTGGCAGGGACCCAGAGGCGGCAGTTCAGGGCTGCTGCAGACAGGAGCACCAGAAGATGAACCCAGCAGGTGGGCGGGCAGGAGCTCAGGTCCTGGGCGCTCTTCTTGGTCAGTGGAGGGGTTGTCCTAACAGCTGCTTGCCTGTGCTGCTTTTTGGAAGTGTGCTCAAGTCCATATCCACCTGTGAGTGTCCCCTGGGGTCAAAGGTCGGCTCCCCAAGCCCTGCTCACCCAGCTTTGCCTGACGCCAGGTGCAGACTGAGCTGTTTTCTGATCCAAGCCTCTGCCTTGTCTCTGTTTTTAGTGGTTTCAAAGCGCCTCCCCGGCTGGGTAAATAGAGACTGGCTAAGCACAGCAGCTTATGCATGTAAAATTCTCTCGTCATCAAACATCTGTTTCTACTTCATAATTCTTTTGTTCATTCTAATTCTGTTGCTCTTTCATATAAAGCATCCCCCATCCCTCAGCCTATGACTGAAATAAGTCAGAGGAATTTTGAGGCAGTATTTTAAGTTTTTTTTTTTTAATTAAACACACTACCTGAAAACCTTCCAGGTACATCTGCTTCGTTTGTATTCCAAGTATTTTACAGACCGTGCTTAGATTTTCAAAGGAGCCACAGCCAGGATTTGATCAACATGTTGTAGTTTACGAAAAGCTCACGTTCCCCATCCACATTCCTGGTCCACTTGCTCTTTTCAGAAGTGCTGGAGGCAGGAATCTTCATCCCCATTCTCGAGAGAAGCTACGGTCAGAGAAGTGCCGATTGGCCAAGGCAACAGCAGAGCCAGATGGAAACGGGGCTGCCACGCTGTCTGTTGCAT